TGAGAAAAATATAATTGAACTCATGAAAAGATAATAGCACTTAACATCAATCAAAATAAAAGGATATGAAAATATTGAACAACAAAAATAAAAGAATTTAGCAATTCATACCGTATATTGGATTAAAGAACAATTCACAAACTTACTCAAAGAACATTCCCTTTAGCCTTAGCTAGAGTTCTAGCAACTCATTACAAAGAAAAACATAAACTAAATGGATAAAGAAATCTGTTGTGGCGTCGTAGGGGTGCCCTTGCCAAATAAGTTGATGGGTGATTTATAGTAGTCAATGAGGTGAGTGGGAAGTTAATACATTCATGGTGGGTGATGAAGGGTTTAATTGAGGGATTAATTGGATTAAACATGTGTTGATGGTGAAGAGTTAGTGGAAAATAAATAACGGTGAGGTAAGTGGGCGTTAAATGGCTGACATAAAATAGGCTCTTTAGCTTCAACGGTTTTGTCTTCTCTTCTCCCTCTTTACTTCTCTTTATAATCACAATAATCCCACAATCAATTCTTCAATTAAATCTGCCAGCAATTCTCTTCACACCTAGCTTGAACTTGGACAAATGTATGTCTTCATCTTTTGGCTTTCCAACTTCCTACAGAAGATAAATTCACCTAATAAGTTCACCAAATTAATATAGAAAATTCATAAATCCAGTTGGTGAGAATAAAATGTAACAACAAGTGAAATTATATTCATTAAGCCAAAATTATATCATAAAGTCTCCAAAATAATAGTAAAAAGATGTAATTTGAGACTTTCATCACATGCTCTATTGACACCTGACCACATTATCAAGAACCATTTTACTAATGTACATATATATACATTATACATATATATATATATATGTATATATACAATCCTCTCCTATTGACGGATCCCTCAAATAATTTTATTTGAGGGATATATTTTAGGGTCCCTTACGAATTGTTTTCCAATGAATTACACAAATCGGAAACCATTTCGACATCTAATTGTGTCCTACAAAATCAATAAACACGGTGCTTCCAGAAAGTACTAAAATTTCAATAATTCCAATTGAGTAGTCAAATGATATCGGATTCAAGTCTTAGACAAGGAAACCCCATCGACTTTATCCCCTTATAAAACCCCTATTTCACCTTCCTTTCATCTCACTGTTGTTACAATAGAGAGAGTCCAACAAACACTAGGGTTGTGAATTTTGTTATGAAGAAGCTATCATAAATTAATCATCATCAATCATGAAAATATCCTTGAGCCAATTATTCTCCGAAAAATATCCTCTCTCCTACTTCTCTCATACACTCCTAACTAACAACATGTTGGTTTAATAATCAGAACCAACAAACTAAATTAAGGGGAGCCCCCAACAGGCAAATCCAACAAGAAAAATCGATTGCCAGTTCAGAAAACCACTAGAAGATTCTTCATTAATAGAAATTGATGGTTTACATCGTCACCGATACGATCTCTATTAATTACACTTACAAGTTCAAAGATATCATTGGATATACCTATATAGTATATATGTAGGAATTTATTTAAGGTGATGCTAAAACTATGCAGTGGGGTAAGAGGCAGACATCGCTATGCCACAAAGTCCTTCAGCTACATCAACATCTCTTTGCATTCTTATGTACCCCTCTTCACCCCATTTTATACTCCATGAGTTCTTTACTAACCAATACTTGGTCCCATCATCACTCATGCCGTAACCAACTGCAGTAACACCATGGTCTAGGCTCGTTCCACAAGTTTCTGTATAGACACCACTTGAATAGAATTGGAAATCAGGACCACTAGCATCAATGGCAACAGAAATTGGTTGATGAGAAACAGTAGTAAGAAGTGCTAAAATATGAATATGGTTTGAATGTATTAGGTTTTTTTTATTATTCTCCATAAGGAGGTATATATAAGAGTTTACAGGGTGCTTTACAAGGAATTAGATACAGTAAAGAAATAGGAAAGTATCTCCTAATTATACAATGATTTATCAACTATATAAAAATAGGAAAGTAAATCCCTTAATTAATCAAGGAAATAAATCTCCGTGATTAATTAGGAGACTCATGTCAACACTCCTTCTCAAGTTGGTGCATATACATCACCAATGCCCAACTTGGTAAGTGAGTCATGAAATACTCTTCCATAAATAGCTTTGGTTAAGATATCTGCCAATTGATCTTCTGATCTTACGAATGGTAGGCGGAGAATCTTCTTCTAAATTTTTTCTTTGATAAAATTTCTATCCACCTCAACATGTTTAGTTCAATCATGTGGAATTGGATTATGGGCAATATCAATGGCTGACTTGTTATCACAATGTAACTCCATTGCTTTTCTGTCTTGAAACCCAATTCTGTCAATAGTCTTCTGATCCATAGTAATTCACAAACTCCGTGAGCCATTCCTCGATACTCTGCTTCAGCACTAGATCGAGAAACCACATTTTGTTTCTTACTCCACTAAGGGACTAGGTTACCTCCCACAAAAGTGAAGTAACCTGAAGTAGAGCATCTATTAGTAACAGAGCTAGCCTAATCAACATTTGTATATCCAACAACTTCGAGATCTCTATTTTTTGAGAACATTAAACCTTTTCCAAGTGCTGACTGTAAGTATCTTAAGATCCGATCAACTGCATTCCTATGGGACACACTGGGTGAATGCATAAATTGACTAACCACACTCACAGCATACGCAATATCTGGTCTTGTGTGGGCTAAATATATCAACCTTCCAACAAGGCGTTGGTACTGTTCCTTATTGGTTGGTTCTTGATCTATGTCTTCACATAACTTGTGATTCATCTCGATGAGTGTATCATCAGGTTTGCATCCAAGCATTCCTGTTTCAGTGAGCAGATCTAATACATACTTCCTTTGAGACATAAATATACCAGTTGTGGACCTGGCTACTTAAATTCCTAGAAAGTACTTCAGATCACCTAAATCCTTTATCTCAAATTCCTGAGACAAATACTTCTGCATTTTCAGTTGCTCTCCTGTGTCTTTTCTAGTTACGACTATGTCATCCACATAAACAATCAATGGAGTAAGTCTTCTTCCATCACGCTTCAAGAACAAAGTGCCATCTGCATTACTCTGTATATATCCAAAATTCTTTATGGATTTAGTGAATATGCCAAACCATGCCCTGGGGGATTGCTTTAATCTATATAATGACTTTCTGAGCTTGCAAACTTGACTCTCCGTGTCATGAGCTAAGTAACATCCTGGTGGTAAGTCCATATATACTTCTTCTTCCAAGTCTCCATGTAAGAATGCATTTTTGACATCAAACTGATGTAGTGGCCAATCGAGATTTGCTGCTAGAGACAATAGGAATCTAATAGTGTTAATCTTGGCTACTGGGGCAAAGGTCTCCTCGTAGTCTATCCCATATCTCTGTGTGTACCCCTTCGCCACCAATCTAGCTTTATATTTTTCAATGGATCCATCTGCTTTGAGTTTTACAGTATAAATCCACCTGCATCCTACTGTCTTTTTTCCATGAGGTAAGAGCACGAGTTCCCATGTGACATTCTTTTAGAGAGCTCACATTTCTTCATGCATAGCTTCTTTCCATTTTGGGTCTTCTAGTGCTTCAGTTACACTATTGGGGACAGATATGTTAGCCAATTGCTTCATATAGTGCACACATGACTCTAATAATCTGCTGAGAGATATATAATTATTGATGGGGTATTTCCCTTTGTCTTTAAGATATGCTTCATATTTTACGCGAGGTTTGCCACGGTTCTTCCTTTCTGGAGGCCGATATGTAGACTTTGTGCCTTCTAAAATTAAATCATCATGGGATATTTCATTAGTGTTATCAATTTCAGGACAAGATGTTACCTGAATGCCATCCTCAGCAGATGATTAGTGTGGTACTGGAGCTGAAGAAGTCTCTGGAGTTGGCAAAATCTCATTAGTTTCCTCCTCCTAAGTTGGACAACAAGGAGACAACAGATCAGGCTGAGGCTGGTCTTCGGGGAACGACTGGTTTCTTCCAAGCTGCGACTGGTCGTTTTTTGGCAGAGCCATAAGTGATCGATCGTTATCAGGCTGTGACCGGTCGTTTTCAGGCAGAGTCATTGGCGATCGGTCACTTTAAGGCTGGTACGATTCTGGAGGAAAAAAATTGAAAAATTCAGAAGTGTTGATGTCGAAATCTGATCCTGTGCAGCTAAAAAATATATGTCATTTTCCCGAAACACAACATTCATAGAAGTATAGACTTTCTGACTAGGAGGATGATAATACCAGTATCCTTTCTGATGAGATGCATAGCCAATGAAAACACACTTTTCGGCTCGGGGATCCAATTTGCTTCGTTGGTGATCATGTAAGTGGACAAGTACAACACAGCCGAAAATCTAGGGTTCCAGGTTTGGGGTAGAAGGTGTTTGGATATGGTGGTGAAGTGTTTGAAGTGGTGTTTGGAAATGTAGGATACTAGAAGGAATCTGATTGATAAGGTATGCTGCAGAGACGACAGCTTCGCCCCAAAAAGATCGTGGCATATTGGCACTAAAGAGAGAGGCACGAACGACTTCCAATAAGTGTCTGTTCTTTCTTTCAGCCACTCTATTCTGTTGGGAAGTGTAAGGGCATGAGCGTTGATGTATGATGCCATGATCTTGTAAGAACTGATTAAGATCATGGTTGAGAAATTCTCTGCCATTGTCAGAACGAAGAACCTAAATTCTGGCATGAAACTAAGTCTCGACCATTTGATAAAACTGTTGAAACCTGGAACTGACTTCTCCTTTAGTTTTGAGAAGGAAAACCCAAGTCATGCGTGTGCAATCATCTATAAATGTGACAAACCATCGCACCCTTGTCTGAGTGGCAATTTTAGCACGTCCCCAAACATCAGAATGAACAAGAGAAAACGGAACCAAACTCTTATTTGAACTTAATGGGAATGGTACATGATGGCTCTTAGCCAATTCACACGTATCACACTAGAAGCTGGAAACATCAAGACTGGAAAATAATGATGGAAACAACTTCTTAAGATTACCGAACAAGGCATGCCCAAGACGTTTATGCCATAACCAAATTTTGTCTCTCTTCCCCTCAGGACGAGTTCTACTGGTTGTGAAAGCTTGACCACCCTTGACCTCACTATCCGATGCCCAGTCCAAGTAATAGAGTTTGCCCTGCTGAGTACCACAACCAATCGTCGTTCCTGTGAGGACGTCCTGAAAAACACAATGATTCGGCCAAAATGACAGGACCCGTCCCGAATTTCCCGGAACCCGAGACGAACCCTGCGGAGACCCCGGCATCACACCCACGCCGGGTTCACTCCTTAAATCTATGTCCTCGTTTACTAGAGAGGATTACGGGCACGAGACTTTCTGCCGAAATTTCGGCAGAGACTCCCCTGTAAATTGAACGTTTCCCTAAAATTCCCACCTGCATAAAACACATTTTATAACCCAACCGGCAGCACGCACAATATAATCTCATGCAATTTACATAAATGGCCTCCGGCCTTCAAATGATTCTAGCAGAACTGCCCAATAATGTTTTTAAACTAACTTAATGCATCAAACATGCATATAGCAAATTCAAAATCTATTTACGCACACCTTCACTCACTTAGTCCCCAGGACAAGCCTCAATTCAACCAAGTTTTGGGACCAACAACGAGGTCCAAACCAATCCCAATAAGACCACCTAAGTGGGGTCTAATCTGTGGCTGCACCTAGTAACTTCAGGCTGCCTACGTACCCTACTAAGGGATCAAGCCACACGTAGTTCTTTCGTATCTATCCTGGCTCCTAATATCAAATAAACCATTACCGCCATACAATTTCATACATTCTAGGATTAATCCATCACAACACACCAAACACAATCATAATATCTCCCCTCATACGACGGGACGCACCCGGCCTCGTATGGGACCTATCTGCATGCCGGATAAACCTACGACACGTGAGAACCCATCAACATATCACATAATCCCCTCATACGA